AATATTTTAACCTCCGTTTGCGGTACAGCAGCAGTAAGGACACACCGCGGGAATCCCGTAAATCTGCTGTACCCGTCTTCGTAAATCCGCGAGTTAAACCCGTATATCTTTGACATTGACCGCGAGTCCCCCTTACTGCTGCTATTTTTATTTACCTGTGGTAAACCAGTCATAAAATACCTTTGTATTTTTCCTGTCCTGATTCCTCCCCTACAAAATGGAAAAGTTACACAATAGTACCCAGGGGTCAATAGGACATTACCCAAGTAACCTTTGTGGGCTTCTGCTGGTCTACAGTTTATTCAATTAGCACCATGTTGCCAAATGATTAAGATAGGGCAGAACCAGCCAATCATGACGCAATGATGTAAATTAATTTTTTGTATGTTGTTTTCTGATGACTGCTGTAATTCAAGACAGCCTAACTAGAAATATCAATACTTTACTTGTAAATAAGTATTTGAGCCAGATCCTAAGCATTTACATCAAAGCTAATATTTCTAAGAATTTTCAATGGACCTCATGGACAATAGTACCCAGAGGTCTTCAGGGCCTAACACGAGACCTTTTACATGCTACTGCAATAGGGTTCTAGTCTACAAATTAAGCTTGTACCAGGTGTCAATCAATGTCACTGTCACAATGATTATGAAAAGGCAGAGATAATAGATCATGTTGCAGAAATTTATAACTACACATGCTCTATTTTGTTGACTACTATACTTAAAGACAGCAGAACTAGAAATATTTATTAACCATCTTAATCATAAACAAAACTTTTAAGAATAGTGTTAATGACTTCTAGGAAAGGAATTTTAAGAATCTTCAATCTTCATGAGCATTAGATTATTCTGGTCAACTATTCATGATTTGATTCAGCTATTCAATTGGACAGACTAGTGGTGTTAAAGAACTATGCGCCTGAGGCAAGCTGAAATTATTTTGATTACTTAATGCTATATTTTAAAGGTTATTTGTGTCTGAATATTTTGAATCATTGTAATTAATTTAGATTTATTTGGATATTGCTATAAGACAAATTTTGATGACTGGTGGGAGAAAATATATTTCATATTATGTAGTTCCCAACCCCAAAAGCCCCTCCCCCCCACCCCCCAACACACAGAAATTAGGGGTGAGGGAGCATGGAGGAGCAAGATCAATATTGCGGAGTTTGTATGACAGGATAATATAATTTTTAGGGCTGGAGTGGTGTGGTGGGGGAGGGGGGGGGGTCTTTAAAGAGATTACTCCATAGTGGGGGAGGGTATTGATTATTTCTGGTACTACACTTTACTTATATTTGAAAAGCAACAGAGCCCAATATGTGAATTTATTTTCCACCAAAACAATACCATGTTATATTGGCTTTTTCTCCTGATCAAACTTAAAGTACAGTCACCTTATTATAAGAAATCTATATTATCGTTTAGATAAGCTTTATTCTATAAATGGGTGGACTAGTGTGTTCTTGTTAATAGCATAATGCTTACAGCTTTTTAGGGAAATGAGGTAATATGCTCTCTTTAAGAATTCTTACCAAATGTTTATATTGTGCCATCATTTTCCTTAAAAAAATAGCATTTAATTTCTTGATAACATTTTCAGTTCTTAAGATATTCAAGCTTTAAGTTAATGCTAATTAGGAGATTAATGATGTCATATGTTCATCACTATGTATCACAGGCAGCCCAAACAAGGTTCCTGTGTATGGTTTTAAGGTAATGTATGGGAGTTATGATAAGTTATGAGAATGAAATGTTTCACTCAACAATTTACTTCCAAACTTGCTGCAGTTGTTGCTCTTACTTTGTTCAGTCAATTTGAGGCCGTTTAGTGGGTGTTTTCAAAATCCCCTCTTCTTTACCTAAATAATGGGAAGGCTGGAGACTTAGCACCCGATATCAACTACATCACGCAAGAAAATCCAAAAAATTCACTCTCTTTTATCTTGAACCGCAATAAAAATGCAATGTGTCATGTATCTGAATGCAACCACGCCAAATATTTCCAGAGAAATCTTGGCTTCAAGTCAAATATTTTATTTCTTCTACAGCGTGTGATCAATGGTGTTCAAACTGCATTTGTAAAGCATGAGCTGGTCACGTTACATACTGCATTCTGATTGGGCAATTGTGATACCTAGCTCGAAACCTATTCCCTTTACCCGACAAACTTGGGTTTGTTACTTTATCATAACTCCCATACATTACCTTATAAACCATACACAGGAACCTTGTTTGGGCTACCTGTAGTATGTATCTGAGAATATTAGGATGAATATTGTTCAAACTTTGAATTATAATTGTATTCAAAGTATGGAACATGTAAAAATTGTAGTTGCTATGACAACACCTGGTGTCCAGGTCCCTCAGCCATTGCCTTGCTATTTTTTAGGCTACTGCTTCAATGTAAGCATATCCATGTAATCTTGTTGAGTGTGTGAGTGAAATACTAAAGGAAGGCCAAATCGAATACTCATTTTAGTCCAATATACTTTCTGATATTGTTTGGGGCCAATCAGATCGTTGTTGTGATGTGACTACATAAAAACTGTAATAACTCCAATGTCATTCAAACCTGGACAGACGTACATTAGTGATCATTGGTTACACACAGGTGCTAATCATGTGACATATGATGTCATCAATCATGTGACTGTATTAAAACAGTAATAACTCTACAAATATTTAACCAATGTCAGTCAAACTTGTATACATTCCTGGACATTGTTACACACAGGTGCCAATCATGTGATATATGATGTCATCAATCACGTGACTGTATTAAAACTGTAATAACTCTACAATTATTTGAGCAATGTCAGTCAAACTTGGACGGACATACATTGCCAGACATTGCTTACACAAGGGTGCCAATCATGTGACTATGACGTCATCAATCACGTGACTATATTAAAACTGTAATAACTTTACAGATATTTGACCAATAATGTCCAGTAATGTATACAAATTTGACTGATGTTACACACCGGTGCCAATCATGTGACTACGATGTCAACAATCACATGACTACATATAAACTGAAATAACTCTGCAAATATATGACCACTGTCAGTCTAATTTGGACAGACATGTTGATATGCTGGACATTGCTTACACAGTGCCAATCATGCGACATATGATGTGTTACCAGTCGCRAAATCTTTATGATGTTGAAAATGGCAGTAGCCACATGCAGTCTTTGACTGCGTATTTTTTTTGTAAACCAGTTGTGAAACTTTATACAAACTGTAAAGAACGCCCTGAGAAAAAACTCTCAAAGCAATCWGTCAATCATCAATCTCTACTCACATGCAATGCTTTGTCCAGGAATCCAACCCTTGACCCTCAGAGGTGATTGTACTACTGCTAAATTACCTATGATTCCCATCTTGTTAACCAACAGGTAGAATTGTATCCCAAAAAATGTCATTACAAGGTACTAAATACTTTGGTTTTATACTTTCTAGGAGACTCCACTTCAGTGAGCAACATTCAAGAGGCACATGTGAAATATTACAGATAAGCCAAAGTAATAGAGTAAAAACATTATTATGTACAACACATATAGCACTAATTTTAAATTTTGATGAAATCGTTTTGCTTCCTTATCGTACGATGACCTATGATGTCAACTCATCTTTGTTATCTAGGTCACTATGGGTACTAGTTTCCTGACATATGCACCTTCAAAATCATAGAAAAGAAATTTGTTCATAATTCAAAAAACTTACAAATAGGGCACGGCTAACTGACAGGTCAGAAAACTGGAGAACTCAGAAAAACTTTAAGATCACGGCAGAGACCTAACCAAAACCACCTATGGATGATGACCTCAGAGGTGACACATGAATCSATTTGTATAGGACTCCACAGCTGATTGCAATAAATTATGGCCATGGTTTATCATGAAAGACTGAAATATTTAATACAAGAATACTGCTAGACTACTTTACAGTCAGATATCTGAGAACCATTTATAGCTAACTTTCTCAAAGATATTTAAAACCAAAACTGTTTAGGTTTACTCTAAAGATATTGGGATATTAAAGTTTCATTGAAATCACTCAATGCCATCACATTTAGTTTCGTAATTTAACACAGTGCTTGACAAAATAATGAGACAT